TCATGTTATAAATTCATACATTATTTAAACAATCAGTAGTTTTAAAATTTTTCAAAAATTGTATTTTATATCGACCCACCTATTTGCTTTTCCATGTTCTTTAATTTCATTCCATAAATCTGTGCCTCAACTGGGATTATTTCCCTTTGTGTGAAACACTTCCTGCAGTATTCCTTGTAGCTGTAATCTACTGGCAGTTGATCTCATCAGCTTTTTTTTTGTCTGAAAATACAGTTAGTGTTTATTATTTTTGCAGTGCTCGAGATGGAACCCATGGACTTGATCATGCTACACGAGTGTTCTACTGTGCTACGCCCCCAGTTCTAAATCTTTACTTTTGAAGGATTTGAAGAGTACATAATTCTAGTTTTGAGTTCTTTGCCTGCTTTAAAGATACAATTTCATTTTCTCCTGCTTTAATGTCTGCTGACAAGTCAGCTATGATTCTTTCAAATGTCTTTTTCTTCCTCTTTATTCCTTTAAGATTCTTTAATTTTTAACAGATTGACTATAATTTTTGTAGATATGGTTTTCTTTGCATTTATCCTGCTTGGGTGTGCTGAACTTCTTGAATCTGTGGGTTCAATTTTAGAAAGCACTCATTGTTTTATGTTCTTAGGCTTGCAGTATTTCTGTTAATATGTTTTTGAATTCACTGATCGCCCCTCGCCCCATGTCAAGCCCACTTACAGAATTATTTCAGTGATAAGAATTTTCACTTCTAAGATATCTATTTGTTTCTACTTTAGATATTCTATACTTCTATACTGTAGTTCTATGTTATTTCATCCATTTAAATTTTTTCTTGTTTTACTATACTTGTGATAATTCTAAAATCCTTGTCTGCTAATTCCTATTGTCTATGGGCCAACTTATATTGGTTCTTTTTTTCTTCTGATTACTTTAATATTTACTTTTTAATTTTAGTTGGACACAATATCTTTATTTTACATTTTATGTGGTGCTGAGGATCAAATCCAGTGCCTTATGCATGATAGGCAAGCACTCTACCACTGAGCTACAACCTCAACCCCTCTTCTAATTATTGATAAGATTATCCTGCTGCTTCATATGGCACTTAATTTTTAAAATTGTGTGTGGATATTACATATAAAAGAACCTCAAAATTTGAAAAAAGAAAAGAGGCTTTCTCCTGGAAGGGAATCACCTTTCTCTGTCAACTCATCAGTTTCAACCATTCAGAGGTTGAGATGGGGCAGTCAGTTTCAGTTCACTTCTGGTTTCAACCATCTTGGGAATAAGAGCTTTCCTGTGACTGTCAGGAATCTAAATACAGAAACAGGAAAAACCCATTTCTTTCTAGGCTGGTGCCCAGCCTCTCATGCTCCTGTACACTCAGCAAAAGCTTCAGGGGGGATAAAAAGTACTGTAAGGAAATACCAGTTCTGAGGATCATCCCTACTACAGTGCACGGTAACCCAGTGTGGCCATGCATACTTCACTGGTCTTTCATTCTACAGTGAAGTTCCCCTGCCTGTGGAGCCTGATCTTCCACCAGCCTGTTCCCAACCAGGGAAAAACAAAGAGGGCCTCATCCTTCTCTGCCCTGTAATTCCTGTACCCTCTTTGTGTCCGAAGATCTCCAGTCTTTAAAGATGTTAAACCACAATTGTTTGTTTTTCCAGTTGCTACAATGGATTCAGAAGGGTCCAGTAAACCTTCCCCATCCAATCTTGAAGTGGAGCTGTACAACTCTGGAACTTTCAAAATCTCAAATCAATCAGTTTAGAACCAAATCATTTCCAAATTGAATCTTCCAATAAATGTATTATTTTCAATATTTTTAAATTATTGTTGGACACAATACCTCTATTTTATTTATTCATTTTTATGTGATGCTGAGGGTTGAACCCAGGGCCTTGCATGTCCTAGGCGAGTACTCTACCACTGAGCCACAACCCCAGTCCTGAATGTATTGATTTTTAAAGGTCATCTTTAATATTAGATTGGCTTCAAAATAGTTTTGGTAAATTGTATTTATTTTTTCCTTATGTTGCCCAGGCTGGCATCAAACTCCAGGGCTTAAGTGATCATTTTGCCTCATTCTCACTCATAGCTGGGTCTATGACCAGCTTGTTTTAGTAAATTTTAAATTATTCTTGTATGTTAGTGTTACATTTCTATTCCTGATAAATTACAAGTTTGTCTTTGTTAAGATATTAAAGTTGTTTCCAGCAATTTTACTAAAAAAAAATTTTTTTTTGGTGTGGTGATGAGGCTCAAACCCAGGACCTTGCACATGCAGTCAAGTGCTCTATAACTGAACTATTCCTGGCCCTAACATTTTCATTATTTCTAATAATTTTTTATTTTTATTTTATTTTTTTTAAAGAGAGAGTGAGAGACAGAATTTTTTAATATTTATTTTTTTTTTAGTTATCGGTGGACACAACATCTTTGTTTGTATGTGGTGCTGAGGATCGAACCCGGGCCGCACGCATGCCAGGCGAGTGCGCTACCGCTTGAGCCACATCCCCAGCCCTCTAATAATTTCTTATATAGATTTCTCTACAGCTTTTCACTTAGGTATCATTGTAAATAATGAGACTTACTTCTACCTTCCTGGTCCTTAGGTATTCTATATTTTTCCCTCGTCTCAACAGTATTGCAGTATATATTTGCAATAATGGGCACCCTTGTCATCTTCCTATTTTTTTTTTTTTAAACCAAACTTGCTATTTTGGCCTAGGCTGGTCTGGAACTTCTGGACCCAAGAGATCCTTCTGCTTTAGCCTCCAGAATACTAGGATCACAGATAATGCCACTGCACCTGGCTTCTTACTGACCTAATGTAATTTTTTTTTTTAAACTTAAGACTTGTTTTTTCCTTTACTGTTACCCAGTCTATTGTATTTTTTTAAAGTTGTATATGGACAATTTATTTTTTTATGTGGTGCTGAGGATCAAACCTAGTGCCTCACATATGCTAAGCAAGCATTCCACCACACAGCTACAACTCCAGCCTAGTCTATTTTGAGAGGTTTTTACATAAATCTCCTCCCTCCCAAATCCTGGGGATTGAACTGTGGGGCACTCTATCACTGAGTTATACTACCTCCCCTTTTTATTTTGAGTCTATTTATTTGCAATCTTGGTAAGTTGCCCAGGCTGGCCTCAAATTTGTGAACCTCCAGCCTCAGCCTTCCAAGCAGGAATTATAGGCATGTGCCACTGTGCCGGGCTCAGAAATCTCTCAAATTTACCAAAATTTTTCCTATTCTACTAGGATATTTGTTTATAGTGCAGTAATATTTACAACATTGCTTTATTCATTTTATGTGCCAAATAATTATTAGGATGGCTAAATGAGGAAGAGTCCTATTTAAAAAGTGAATTATATTTATTGATTCTTCTAGTATAAAACCAACTTTCTCTTTCTGGATAAAGTTAAATTGAACATGACAGATTCTCTTTTTGAAAACTACCTACTTCTATAAATGACTTTTGAAGGTTTTTGGGTTTTATAGTCTTTGTCTTAATTTGTTTTCCTGCTTATATTGTCTTCATATATTGCCAGAATGTGTTCCTTGATTTTCTAAATTCTCAATTATTTCCATATTGCTTGTAACTTTTATAGGGCAGAATTCAGTAGTACAGCCATCTGTAGATATTTCAGTGTGGAATATTCAAATGTATTATATAATCCTTCCCAAACCCAAAAAGGCATGTCAAGCACTGTGCTATTTCTTTGAAGTAGGTGTTACAAGTTCCTGTCACCTTGGCGAAAACATCTTAGCATGTTGCAGACAGCTGAATTCCTTTACTAGGTTTGGCCTACTTCCTGTCCTATCATTCATATGTACTTTACTAAAGCATTTAAATTTAAAGTACTTGATATTTCCTTCTTCTCAGGGCTAGTCAGCAAATAATCATCAATATAAAGGACAGCTGCAGATGAATAGTGACATGTTACTGCAGGCACAGCATTAACTGAGTACTGAGAAAAGATAATTTGCTCTTATCTTTACAAGTTGGTATGGAGAAAATGGCATTAGTTAGGTCAGTAGGTCACATCTATATAAAGTGAATTAATGAGTACCTCATTATTAGGGAAAAAGGATGTGCACTACTATAAGAATAAAGGGACACTTAGCAGAAACATGTAAAATCAGTAAACTTATATGCCATCCTATTATGGTGCCTGAAAGTAAAAGAAAGGAGACAATTCTTTAAAAACAAATCATTTGACAATTCAGTTATGGTGTGACACTGTAGCATATTTCTCAATAATTGGCAGATCAAGAGATAGTTTGTAATTATACAAATTAAAAAAAATATTTACCCAATGGATACATGGATAGATAGCCTGTTATATTCAACAATTAGAAAACATAGGTTTCAACCATACATGAAGGATTCATAAAACTTGAATACACATCAGCTAAAACAGCTGGAACTGAAATCAGTTATAAGTGAAACTTCTCACAAGAGTAGTTTAGCTGGGTGCAATGATGCACGCCTGTAATCCCAATAACATGGGAGGTGGAGGCAGGAGGATTGCCAAGTTCAAAGCCAGCCTCAGCAAAAGTGAGGTGCTAAGCAACTCAGTGTGACCCTGTCTCTAAATAAAAAATACAAGTCAGGGTTGGGGATATGTCTCAGTGTCCCTGAGTTCAATCCCTGGTAAAAAAGAGTAGTTTAAACAGTTAGGAGTTTATTTTCTCATATAACATGAAATTTAGAGATAAGCAGTTCAGGATTGGTGCAGGTAGATATTATGTATCCTCTGTTGTGTCATTAATATCTTGTAACTGTTATCCTCTTGATGATGTATTTCTTAGGAAAAAAGAAAGGATAAGAGAAAGGGCAAATGGTGATAAGAAAATGCTAAATGAGATGTTCCTATTTCCATGAGATTCCTTAGAAGCCACATTCAGTGACATCTGTCTTCTCGTTTTAAGGACTGTGGATACATTTGGCCAATCATATCGCTGCAAGGTAAGTTGGGAAATGAGTGCTTAAACACTGTTTCAATATTGCCAAATTAAACAAAATTGTGAGATTTTTATTTTAAGGAACAAGGGGGCAGAGAATGAATATTGGGACAGTAACTAGTTCTATCAGCTACGTACACCACACAGCAAGTTTCTACCAACTTTTTACATTTATCTATATCATTAAGACTATGCATTCTGTCCAAAATGAGTTAAAATAAAGTTAACTAAAATATACATAAGATCTGCCTATTAATAAACTCACTTCTAACTTATCTGTGGGTCTAAAATATCTTGGTAGGAATCAGACATTATTTAGTACTAACTTATAATATTACATTATCAAAACTTTTGTGGTGTGAGTCAAGCAGTTTACTGATATATTGTCTTCAATGCTTATAAATTAATGAGTTATGGCACTTTAAGTATGAAACAGTCATTACTGATAAGAACTAAGAATTGTGCCTCAATACTTTTTCCACATGGTTTACAATACAATTTCTCTCCAGTGTGAGTTCTAGAATGAGGAATGAGACATGCAGGACAACATAACCTCCTCAAAAGTCATTTCATTCACAGACTTTCTGTCCTATATGTATTCGCTTGTGCATTATAAGGTTAGTGCTTGTGCTGAAGGCTTTCCCACACTGCATGCATTTATAGGGCTTCTCTCCAGTGTGTGTTCTCACATGTACCCTCAGGCAAGAGGAATTCCTAAAGGCCTTCCCGCATTCTTTACACTCATAGGTTTTTTCTCCAGTGTGAGTTCTTCTGTGCACAATAAGATAAGAGCCTGTGCTGAAGGATTTTCCACACTGATTACACTCATATGGTTTTTCTCCAGTGTGAGACCGTGTGTGTTTCTTAAGGGATGACTGATCAATGAAGGCTTTTCCACAGTCAGTGCATTCATAAGGTTTCTCTCCAGTGTGGGTTCTCACATGTTTCTGAAGGGATGAAGGAACAGTGAAGGCCTTCCCACACTCCTTACAATCATAGGGTTTCTCTCCAGTGTGAGTTCTTTTGTGCACATTGAGATGAGAGCTCTGGCTGAAGGATTTTCCACAATGATTACACTCGTAAGGTTTCTCTCCAGTGTGGGATCTCATATGTTTCTTCAGGGAGGACTGAAAAATGAAGGCTTTTCCACAGTCACTGCACTCATAGAGTTTCTCTTTAGTGTGAGTTCTGACACATTTCTGAAGGGACAAAGGGTCAGTGAAAGCTCTCCCATATTTGTTACATTCCAAGCTCTCCTCCACAGTTTGTATTTTTTTATGAATACTAAGGGAAGACTTTGTTCTACAGTCAGTGCGTTCATAGAATTTCTCTCCAGTATGTATTTGCTCACATCCTGAGAAGGAAAAGTGAAGGCTGAAGGATACACCACACTGATTACACCTGTAAGCCTTCTCTCCTGTGAGAGTTCTTAAGTGTTTTCTAAGGCATGACTCCTGATTGAAAACTTTCCCACAATCCTTACATTCTAAAATTTTCTCTGCAGTGTGCATACTCACATGACTTTTAGTAGTTGAGGGACGTTTGAAGCCTTTGCCGTATTCTTTATATTTATAGAATTTCTCTTCCTTGCAATGACTGATACAAATAAGGTAAGGGTTCTTTCTGAAGAATCTTTCTATAGGTTTCTTGCCAGGATGGGTTGGTACCTATTGAATAAAAAAATAAGTGGTGACTAAAGGCTTTCTGACATTAATCTCACCCCTAGGAATTCCCTTCCATGTGGATTTTGCCATATAAAAGTAGTAGATGATTATGACTAATGTTGGTTATGACTTTTTTGTTGTTGGTTGTTTTTTAAGGAGACAGAGTATCACTAAACTGCCCAGGCTGATCTTGAGGCTCAAGTGATCTTCCTGCCTTACCCTTTGAGTGCTGGGACTACAGGTATGACTTTTGCTGTATTAGTTTTTCAAGGTGAATAAGCTATTGAGCTTTGTCCAATAGAGATTCTCTAGTATGAATGAAAAATTAATTATGTATTAAGTATTTAATACTAGAACAATGCTTAAGTAAATATTGTGGGTATTATCTGTGAAGCAGCAAGTACTAAATTAGGTTTATAGATTTCTCTAATACTGCCTTCTAGAAGCTTTCTGAATTGGGTTTATAGATTTCGGACCTAGAAACTTTCTGAATTAGGTTTATAGATTTCTCTAATACTGCCTTCTAGTTCAGCTTTCTGAGGAGTAAATGCCTCTTCCTCAACTCATGCCCCTGATTTTAGAGTAATGTTGTTTTTTTACTTGTTGTTAATTCTCATCTTCTATAAAGAACCAGGAATCATTCTTAGCAAACTTTAAGTACTGAGACTGAACCCAGGGCTTTATTCATGGTAGGCAAATGCTATGCCACTGTACTATATCGCCAGACCTTTCTTTTGAGACAGGGTCTTGCTAAGTTGCCCAGGCTGGAATCTAATTTGTGATTCTCAGTGTGATACCATGCCTGGCATCATTTCAGGTACATCTTACCATTTTTATGCCATTGGATGTTGTATTCCCAGGAACATTCTGCACAGGAATTGAATCTTTTAGTTGAGTTTCCCAGTCTGAAAAGCATAGGGAAATTTTTAAAAAAAATCTTTATTTTTTAGTTGTATTGGACACAACACTTTTATTTCACTTATTTATTTATTTATTTATTTATTTATGTGATGCTGAGGATCGAACTCAGGGTCTCGCATGTGTGAGGCGAGCGCTCTACTACTGAGCCACAACCCCAGCCCCGGGGAAATTTTTTTTAATAATCATTGGGAGAAAAGGCTAGGATGAAAAGAAAAGGAAGCAGGCCCCTGTTGATTAGTTTCCAAACCATAAGAGTAAATACAAGAAAATGTTAAAGGGAAAATGCATCCAGAGACCAAACCCAAACAAATAAAAAGCTCTGGGAAGAGATGTTAAGAATAGAAACATGCAAAGGAAATGAGAGGAATTTACTTGGCAAGGATTCTGGAAGTTTGAGAAAATAAGATGTGGCATTATCTGGAAAGCAAAATAGGAACAACAGAACACAAAGCATTAATGAGGTATTGAATTTAAAGAGGAATTAAAACAGTTCTTTCTAGACACGTCATCCCAATTGGAGGAGGGGCAGAGCAGAGCCGCCGCCCACGCCTGCAAGGTAGGCAGACCTGCGACTGCCGGCAGAATAGGCCCAGCAGCCTGCCAGCGTGGTAGACATGTCACCCCAATTGGAGGAGGGGCAGAGCAGAGCCACCGCCCGATCCTGCAAGGTAGGCAGACCGGCACAACAGGCCCAGCGGCCCGCCAGCGTGGTAGACACATCACCCCAATTGGAGGAGGGGCACAGCGCCCGCGCCTGCAAGGTAGGCAGACCTGCGACCAACCGGGAGAACAGGCCCAGCGGCCCGCCGGCATGGTAGACACATCATCCCAATTGGAGGAAGGGCCCAGCTGCTGCCCGCAAGGTAGGCAGACCGCGCGTCCCGGAGAAGGGGCCCAGCGGCCCGCCGGCCTAGTTGAATGATCACCCCAATTGGAGGAGGGGCACAGCCACCACCCGCGCCTGCAAGGTAGGCAGACCTGCAACCTGGAGAACAGGCCCAGCGGCCCGCCAGCGTAGTAGACAGATCACTCCTATTGGAGGAGGGGCCCAGCTGTTGCCCGCAAGGTAGGCAGACCACGTGACCTGGAGAAGGGGCCCAGCGGCCCGCTGGCGTGATAGATCACCCCAATTGGAGGAGGAGCACAGCTGCCGCCCATCCCTGAAAGGGAGACTTTTTAACTATACAAGAGCAATATAAATATATAGGGGGAAAATTCAATAACACAACAGTTTCACCAAGCAGAAAGAAACGCGAGCAGTATGAAAAGACAAGGAAAGAAAGGACCACAAGCAATGCAGGTCAACTCAACTTTAGAAGAGGTAATAGCTGCAGCAGATGGAATATCAGATAAAGAATTCAGGATTTACATGCTTCAGATGATCTGGAGTCTCAAGGAAGACATTAGACAGAAAATCAGACAATGAAAGATCACTTTGACAATGAATTACATAAACAAATCCAAGAAGCAAAAGATCAACTCTACAGGGAGATAGAGGTTATAAAAAACAAACAAATAGAAATCCTAGAAATGCAGGAAGCAATAAACCAACTTAAAAACTCAAATGAGAATACTACCAGCAGAGTAGAACACTTAGAAGATAGAACATCAGACAATGAAGACAAATTATTTCAACTTGAAAAGAACATAGACAACTCAGCGAGACTCCTAAGAAACCATGAGCAGAACATCCAAGAAATATGGGATAACATAAAGAGACGGAACTCAAGAGTCATTGGGATACAGGAAGGTATAGAGGTCCAAACCAAAGGAATGAGCAATCTGTTCAACGAAATAATACGAGAAAACTTCCCAGACTTGAAGAATGAGACAGAAACCAAATCCTAGAACCTTCAGGATGCCGAATGTGCAAAATCATAAGAGATCCACACCTAGACACATTATAATGAAGATGCCCAACATACAGAATAAGGAGAGAATTTTAAAAGCTTCAAAAGAAAGGAAGCAGATTACATTTAGGGGTAAACCAATCAGGATAACAGCTGATCTTTTAACACAGACTCTGAAAGCTAGAAGATCCTGGAACAACATATTTCAAATGCTGAAAGAAAATGTGTTCCAAACAAGAATTGTGTATCCAGCGAAATTAAGCTTCAGGATGGAAGATGAAATTAAAACCTTCCATGATAAACAAAAGCTAAAAGAATTTGCAGCTAGAAAACCATCTCTTCAAAACATCCTCAGCAAAACATTACAGGAAGAGGAAATGGAAAATAACAATGAAAACCAACAGTGGGAGGTAGTACAGTAAAGGGAAAATATAATCAAACAGGAAAAACAAACCATGTTAAGTAACATAAATAAACAAATATGGCTGGAAGAACAATCCATATCTCAATAATAACCCTAAATGTTAATGGCTTAAACTCACCAATTAAGAGACACAGGCTAGTAGAATGGATCAAAAAAAAAAAAAAAAAGATCCAACAATATGCTGCCTACAGGAGACGCATTTGACAGGAAAAGACATACATAGACTGAAGGTGAAAGGTTAGGAAAAATCATATCACTCATATGGACTTTGGAAACAAGCAGGAGTGTCCATACTCATATCAAATAAAATAGATTTCAAGCCAAAGTTAATCAAAAGGGATAAAGAGGGACACTACATACTGCTCAAGGGAACCATACACCAACAAGACATAACAATCATAAATATATATGCTCCAAACAATGGTGCAGCTATGTTCATCAAACAAACTCTTCTCAAGTTCAAGAGTCTAATAGACCACCATACAATAATTATGGGAGACTTCAACACACCTCTCTCACCACTGGACAGATCTTCCAAACAAAAGTTGAATAAGGAAACTATAGAACTCAATAATACAATTAATAACCTAGACTTAATTGACATATATAGAATATACCACCCAACATCAAGCAGTTACACTTTTTTCTCAGCAGCACATGGATCCTTCTCAAAAGTAGATCATATATTATGTCACAGGGCAACTCTTAGACATTATAAAGGATAGAGATAATACCATGCATCTTATCTGATCATAATGGAATGAAACTGGAAATCAACGATAAAAGAAAGAAGGAAAAATCATGCATCACTTGGAGAATGAACAATAGGTTACCGAATGATCAATGGGTTATAGAAGACATCAAGGAGGAAATTAAAAAATTCTTAGAGATAAATGAAAACACAGACACAACATATCGGAATCTATGGGACACAATGAAAGCAGTTCTAAGAGGAAAATTCATTGCCTGGAGTTCATTCCTTAAAAAAAGGAAAAATCAACAAATAAATGATCTCACACTTCATCTCAAAATCCTAGAAAAAGAAGAGCAAAACAACAGAAAAGAAGTAGAAGGCAAGAAATAATTAAAATCAGAGCTGAAATTAATGAAATCGAAACAAAAGAAACAATTGAAAAAATTGACAAAACTAAAAGTTGGTTCTTTAAAAAAATAAATAAGATCGACAGACCCTTAGCCATGCTAACAAAGAAAAGAAGAGAGAGAACTCAAATTACTAGCATACGGGATGAAAAAGGCAATATCACAACAGACACTTCAGAAATACAGAAGATAATTAGAAATTATTTTGAATCCTTATACTCCAATAAAATAGAAGATAGTGAAGGCATCGATAAATTTCTTAAGTCATATGATCCACCCAGATTGAGTCAGGAGGATATAGACAACCTAAACAGACCAATATCAATTTAGGAAATAGAAGAAGCCATCAAAAGACTACCAACTAAGAAAAGCCCAGGACCGGATGGGTATACAACAGAGTTTTACAAAACCTTTAAAGAAGAACTAATACCAATACTTTTCAAGCTATTCCAGGAAATAGAAAAAGAGGGAGAACTTCCAAATTCATTCTACGAGGCCAACATCACCCTGATTCCTAAACCAGACAAAGACATTTCAAAGAAAGAAAACTACAGACCAATATCTCTAATGAATCTAGATGCAAAAATCCTCAATAAAATTCTGGCGAATCGGATACAAAAACATATCAAAAAAACTGTGCACCATGATCAAGTAGGATTCATCCCTGGGATGCAAGGCTGGTTCAATATACGGAAATCAATAAATGTTATTCACCACATCAATAGACTTAAAGATAAGAACCATATGATCATCTCGATAGATGCAGAAAAAGCATTCGACAAAGTACAGCATCCCTTTATGTTCAAAACTCTAAAAAACTAGGAATAACAGGAACATACCTCAATATTGTAAAAGCTATCTATGCTAAGCATCATTCTGAACGGAGAAAAATTGAAGGCATTCCCTCTAAAATCTGGAAAAAGACAGGGATGCCCTCTCTCACCACTTCTGTTCAACATTGTTCTCGAAACACTGGCCAGAGCAATTAGACAGACGAAAGAAATTAAAGGCATAAAAATAGGAAAAGAAGAACTTAAATTATCACTATTTGCAGTGACATGATTCTATACCTAGCAGACCCAAAAGGGTCTACAAAGAAACTATTAGAGCTAATAAATGAATTCAGCAAAGTGGCAGGATATAAAATCAACATGCATAAATCAAAGGCATTCCTGTATATCAGCGACAAATCCTCTGAAATGGAAATGAGGACAACCACTCCATTCACAATATCTTCAAAAAAAATAAAATACTTGGGAATCAACCTAACAAAAGAGGTGAAAGACTTATACAATGAAAACTACAGAACCCTAAAGAGAGAAATAGAAGAAGATCTTAGAAGATGGAAAAATATACCCTGTTCATGGATAGGCAGAACTAACATCATCAAAATGGCGATATTACCAAAAGTTCTCTATAGGTTTAATGCAATGCCAATCAAAATCCCAACGGCATTTCTTGTAGAAATAGATAAAGCAATCATGAAATTCATATGGAAAAATAAAAGACCCAGAATAGCAAAAACAATTCTAAGCAGGCAGTATAGCGATACCAGACTTCAAACTATACTACAGAGAAATAGTAACAAAAACAGCATGGTACTGGTACCAAAACAGGCGGGTGGACCAATGGTACAGAATAGAGGACACAGAAACCAGTCCACAAAATTACAACTATCTTATATTTGATAAAGGGGCTAAAAGCATGCAATGGAGGAAGGATAGCATCTTCAACAAATGGTGCTGGGAAAACTGGAAATCCATATGCAACAAAATGAAACTGAATCCCTTTCTCTCGCCATGCACAAAAGTTAACTCAAAATGGATCAAGGAGCTTGATATCAAATCAGAGACACGGCGTCTGATAGAAGAAAAAGTTGGCTACTATTTACATACTGTGGGGTCAGGCTCCAAATTCCTCAATAGGACACCCAGAGCACAAGAGTTAATAACTAGAATTAACAAATGGGACTTACTCAAACTAAAAAGTTTTTTCTCAGCAAAAGAAACAATAAGAGAGGTAAATAGGGAGCCTACATCCTGGGAACAAATCTTTACTCCTCACACTTCAGATAGAGCCCTAATATCCAGAGTATACAAAGAACTCAAAAAATTAAACAATAAGAAAACAAATAACCCAATCAACAAATGGGCCAAGAACCTGAACAGACACTTCTCAGAGGAGGACATACAATCAATCAACAAGTACATGAAAAAATGCTCACCATCTCTAGCTGTCAGAGAAATGCAAATCAAAACCACCCTAAGATACCATCTCACTCCAGTAAGATTGGCAGCCATTATGAAGTCAAACAACAACAAGTGCTGGAGAGGATGTGGGGAAAAGGGTACACTTGTACATTGCTGGTGGGACTGCAAATTGGTGCGGCCAATTTGGAAAGCAGTATGGAGATTTCTTGGAAAGCTGGGAATGGAACCACCATTTGACCCAGGTATTCCCCTTCTCGGTCTATTCCCTAAAGACCTAAAAAGAGCATACTACAGGAACACTGCTACATTGATGTTCATAGCAGCACAATTCACAATAGCAAGACTGTGGAACCAACCTAGATGCCCTTCAATAGACGAATAGATAAAAAAAATGTGGCATTTATACACAATGGAGTATTACTCTGCATTAAAAAATGACAAAATCATAGAATTTGCAGGGAAATGGATGGCATTAGAGCAGATTATGCTAAGTGAAGCTAGCCAATCCCTAAAAAACAAATGCCAAATGTCTTCTTTGATATAAGGAGAGTAACTAAGAACAGAGTAGGGAGGAAGAGCATGAGAAGAAGATTGACATTAAACAGGGATGAGAGGTGGGAGGGAAAGGGAGAGAGAACAGAAATTGCATGGAAATGGAAGGAGACCCTCAGGGTTATACAAAATTACATACAAGAGGAAGTGAGGGGAAAGGGAAAAAAAAAACAAGGGGGAGAAATGAATTACAGTAGATGGGGTAGAGAGAGAAGAGAAGAGGGGAGGGGAGGGGAGGGGAGGGGGGATAGTAGAGGATAAGAAAGGCAGCAGAATACAACAGACACTAGTATGGCAATATGTAAATCAGTGGATGTGTAACCGATGTGATTCTGCAATCTGTATACGGGGTAAAAATGGGAGTTCATAACCCACTTGAATCAAAGTGTGAAATATGATATATCAAGAACTATGTAATGTTTTGAACAACCAACAATAAAAATTAAAATAAATAAATAAATAAATAAATAAAACAGTTCTTCCTCTAAGACCTAATGAAAGTATGAATGAAGGGACTGATAAAAAGAAAATCAGTAATGGCTTCACCCTTTTTTCCCCTGCACTGATTCATTCCCAAATCTCACTAGTCAAGACTATTCTATGCAGTAACTCCTTTCTGCCCAAGACTTACCTTCAAAGATGCTTTGGAATATTCCTTTCTCCTCTGTCCTCAGCTCTTCTTGTTCTACCTTGGAGATGAGACTGTGTTTGCAGAGCTGATACCCTATATGCGAGGAAAGACATATGACGCGGGAGGACTGTTAGGAGACAAGAAGACTTTCCACAAAACTGATTCTATACTTTGGCCTCAAAGGAGGCTGAAGATGGTTAAGTTCAGCTTTAGGAGCAGTAATAATCAGAGTAGAGCTCCTTCACAAGGCCCAAGAAGGAAACACTCTGTGCCCCATAGGAAAGTGACCTTTGAAACTCAGGTTCAAGATCATACACAGACTACAAATTACCTAAAGCTTTTAATGAGAGGACCATCCATCCCATTCTTTTCACAGACTATAATGCAATAAGTGCTTAAGAACTACTTGCTTTGTGAACAAATGAATAAATGAATTGCACAAGCCTTACCCACTGAGGCCAGGTTCCTAAAGTTCTCCAGCATCACATCTCTGTATAAAATTTTTTGAGCAGGGTCCAGCAATGCCCACTCTTCCTGAGAGAAGTCCACTGCCACTTCCTGGAAGGTCACTGAATTCTAAAACATCATATACACAATCTGGCTCAGCCAATGACTTATCTTCAACAATAAGCTGGGGAAGATGGGTGAAGCTGACAGGACTGGAAAGGGATCCAAGGCATTGAAAGCCAGGACAAGTGTCTGAGGTCTTCTGTTATAGCCCCCAGGCTCAGTTCTCATTAAATCTTCATCCCCTGGGCCATCTCATCCAGGCTTATAGCTTTAGCAGGTTTTTAAAGACATGGTTGACCTGATCTTTGCACAATTAGGTTGTGTGGACTCTTTGTCTTACTTAGATCCTACATAGATAGGGCAGGCTGCAGGAATAAAATACCTGAGAAATTAATAATGGTTGTTTTCCTAGTGGAATTTTCCCCATAGACCCAGCAGAGTATGGAATCCAGAATTCATACTTCATCTGGATGAGAAACCAAAAAAAAAAAAATTTAAAAATGTAGTAGCTTTTCCTGACATTCCCTCTTAAAAAGCCAACATAATGGGGAGAGGACTGGGTCAGCCACACCTGGGGTGTAAAACTGCAAATCATGCATAAGAGATGTGCTTAAAGCACAGTAACATTTTATCAGAAACTGAATTATTTCCTACATACCTGTGACCAAGCTGGCAGCAATCCTGCAGCCATTCTTTCTCTTGGATATTTCTGCCCTAGCTGGAGATGGTCCTAAGCAAACAGAGCTAAAAGAGAAGAAAGATGTTCATATTCAACACCTACAGACACAGAAGCTTCCTTATATTTATATAAGAGTTAAGATTTGTTTTCCTATGCAAGAACATAGTATAATTCTTACATAATATGTACTTATTAATTTTTCTTTTTGAACTTCTTTCTGGCCTGAACCACTGCAAAGGCTTGTAGTCAGTAACAGTTAAGGAGCAGTATATCTTTAGTGTCAAACTGTCTCTAAATGCCACTTACTCATGCAGAAATCAGGACTTACTGGGGAAAGAGCAGAGAACTATACAGAACAACAAATCTTCAAGGTAGATCTGAAGTATTTTGTACCACACCCTTGGTTTAAACATCTTTAAAATGGGACATACCTCTTAGGGTTGGACTGACTAGTTAATATACGTCAATTACTCAGTTCAATAACTGGCAATCCATAGAGGTTGGTAGAAATTAGAAATTATCATTTGCCTGTATTTCCTTTTAGGTGAACATATTTTCATTTAATAATAAAAGGATCATACTACAGAACAATGTTCATCACACTTAGCTGTATAACGGAAGTCATCAAAATTTAATGCTGCCAAACCTGACAGCAGAGCTGGGATTTGAAATCAGATCTCCTTCATTCAGAGCCCACCTCCCAGGCCTTGACTGCAGGTGCCTGTACCTGAGTATATATTATCTCCTGAGAAATCTTACTTTTGTGCATATTTCTTGACACACTTAGCTTAACTGTCTATCGATGAGAATACCTCATGGTAGTCTAGGAGGCCAGCAGAGAAGTTTCAGCACACTGCTGGAGAAAAAAAAACCGATTATGGATATGTTGAACATAGTTTGCTCCCTAATTGCACCATAGAAAACAGTGAATCCAAGAGCTTTGTGTAGGCCAGCTTGACCCTATGGAATTGGAAGAAGAAAGACAGATTTGAACATTTCAGGACACTGGCCTAGGGAAAACAAATGGGAGGCTCTCAATCAAGAAGGCATATAATTTTTTTGGTGGGGAGGTACCACAGATTGAACTCAGGGGCAATCAATCACTGAGCCAATCCCCAACCCTATTTTGTATTTTATTTAGAGACAGGGTCTCACTCAGCACCTCACCATTACTAAGGCTGGCTTTGAATGTGCGATCCTCCTGCCTCAGCCTCCGGAGCCGCTGGGATTATAGGCATGCACTGCCGTGTCCCGCAAGAAGGCACATAATTTTAAGATGAAAAAAAATTTAAGTTCTTGGAGATATAAATAATGGAAGGAAGATGTTAAAAATGCAAGACCACTCAATGCATATATACTTTCAAAAACTGACCTGAAATAAAGTTTTCTCTTAAACACCCCCCCCCCCCCAAAAAAAAAAAAACAGATTGAGAGATTTGGCTGTTTTTAAGAGTTTGGAAATAATAAGGTCTGTGGTCAAATTGGTAGATTATGAAGAAATAATTCCCTAAAAATAAGATTGGCAATTTTTAAATTTTTTTGATGCTGGGGATTAAACTCAGGGCTTCATGTATGCTAGGCATACATGAAACCCAAAGTCTTTTATCCAGTCCCCTAAACACTAAAATCGATAATAAAACAGTAACAGGCATAATCAGGGAAACTAAGTTGAAAAGAAATGGACAACGAGCTAAGTGCAAATGATACATTTCTTTCATCTTACTGACAGATCAAATGTTTTAAAGATGGATGGAAAGTGATGGAAGTTACCCAAGCAACCTCAGAAACCAAATGGACTCAATATTCTCAGGAAAAAAGTGTATCTTCAAAAGCTTTCTACTTAAGATTTCCAAATGTACTGTACATCTTATAGATAATGGCTGTTTCTCATAAAGAATCACATCTTCCTTTTATCTCACCTTGGAGAACTTTCTCCATTGTCCTCAGCTCTTCTTGTACTACATGAAAAGTCAGACCAGGTCTACGTGGCTGGTTCCCTGCTCTTAGGGAAAGAGGCATGATGTAAGAAGAATGTGCAAGGGATGACAAATATTTCCATAAACCAAAGGCCAAGATTCTGTTTTTCTGGCATTCTGACCATTGTCAGGCATAACTTGAGAAATAACATAATCTTTATGCTCCAAGTAGTCAGCCAGTGAGCTTTCAAGTGAACTGCAAATACAAACAGTTTATCTTTCTCTTTCATTGTGTAACAAAAGAACAGTGATCTTTCCTCTGAAACACAGGCTTAAGCTTGTACAGTTATGAAGCCTTTTATCCATGGAGAAAACAAAGACAGTACAACAAACAGAATTCCATTTCTTATGAGAAAGTCACTAGACAGTAAGTCTTGAAAGGAACACCTTTGGTTTGTTTATGATTGCATTGCTATTAATATGCAGACCCTAGAATATGATACTTAATATTTATTCAGGAAAAACTAAATTGAAGAAATGGTACCAACCTTACCAAATGGAATTAGATTCTTGTAGTTCTCCAGCATCGCATCTCTGTATAAGTTTCTCTGAGTTTGGTCCAGCAAAGTCCATTCCTCCTGGGTCAAGTTCATATCCTCAAAGGACACTAAGTCCTAAACCATCATAAACACACTGGTGTGAGACAAGGAGCATCCCCACTATGTCATTTGGAGAAGAATGAGGGACCCAATGCTTTGAATAGGTTCCATGGTCTTCACTGCTCTTCTCTTTTCTATCTGTTCATATTTAGTGGTGACCTAATTAAGTCACATGGCATCTCTTTCACCTGACTGTATCTTACCACAATAGACTGTGATCCATTTTGGCCTTATTTTTCTCTACTAACAGGTTTTAATGTAGTCTTGAACACATTATAGGCACTCAAATAAATGCTTAAATGATAGCATAAAATTCTCTGAGAGAAGTACATGTTAATTCTCTCCTTTGCAGTCTATCATAGTAAAATCAAAGAATGAAAAACATAAATGAAATTCAGAATGAATTAGTATTGGAAAAACGGCATCACTTCCCTATGTAATCTGTTAACCACATGAGAGGCTATAACTTGAGGAAATCTGACTGGAAACTTAGTCCCTAAGTCCTATTTGTTTGAAGAAACTCTTCCACTCAGGGGACATACAGTTACTTTATAGGAAGCAGCATACTTTTCCATAGAAAAGTCAATTTCCTACTTACCTGAGAATGATTTGTCAGCCACTCAGTCACCATATTTTCTTCTTCTGATTTTGCCTCATGAAGACATAAAAAGCCTTGAAGATCCTGAGAAGAGGAAATAAAACTTGAGAACCCAGGATGCCCACAGTTTCCATACTCACAAGCCTGGAAGGCACTTCATACAAATTCTAAGTGGACTCAAATTCTAAGTTGCCTTAAAATGCTGAGCAGCCTGTGATGTGTGTGCCAGAAACAGTAGCAGCATAAGTTATTATCGTTATGGTTTGAACATGAGGTGTCCCCCTAAAGTTGTTGTGTTAATGAAAGAATATTCAGCAGTGAAATGATTAGATTATGAGGGCTGTCACCTCATCAGTGGATTAATCAATTTGATGCATTAGTAATTTGAATGGAATAGTAGGTGGTAACTATAGGCAAATGGGGTGTGGCTGGAGGAAGTAGATCTCTGGGGGTGTGCCTTTGGGATTATATTTTGACCCTGGCTCTTTAATCTCTCCATTTCCTGGCAACTTTCCCCCACCCTGTCCTTTTGCCATGATGCTCTCTCTCCTCTGGCTCAGAGCAATGGGTGGACTGACCATGGACTGAACTTCTGAAACTCTGAGCCCAAAATAAACTTTTCCTCTAAATTATTCTTGTCAAGTGTTTTGGTCACAGTGACAAAAAGGTGATTAACACAACCAGATATAATCTATCCCTAAAGAACCTACCAAAAAAAACCAAACCAAAACAAAACAAAAAACCAAACCAACTATTCACTACTGCAAGACCAAAAATTAATACATAAAAATCAACTGGGGTGGGTTGGGGATATAGCTCAGTTGGTAGAGTGTTTACCTTCATGCACAATGCCGTGGGTTCAACCCCCAGAACTACCACCACCACCACCACCACCACCACACACACACACACACACACACACACACAAGTAAATAAATAAATCAATTGGGTTTCTATAACTAATAATGAACTATCCAAAACAGAAATTAAGAAAACAATCCCATTTCAAGAGAATCAAAAACAATGAAATACTTCGGAATAAATTTAACGAAGATGGTCAAAGGCCTGTACACTGCAAATATACAATGTTGAAGAAGACAGATATAAATGTAAAAATATTCTGGATTCACAGATTGGAAGGATTAATGACCTAACACGTGATTTGGGGATGTTTGACATCCAGAGACTAGCGTGCCGTTTTTGCTTGAGAGTCGTCAAAAAATTAGCACCCAGGTAGCATGAAAACCCTCTATTTCTTGGTTTGAATTCTGACCCTGTCCTTATATACTAACCACAATAATTCCTTGCATGATCGAACTTCATTCAGGTTCTTGAACCTTTTCTGAAGCTCACCTGCACAGCTCCTTGTGAAACCCAGTTGTAGCAAGAACTCTGTTAAGTCACGGTATCTAGAACTCCCGTCTTCCTAGACACTCCTCCATTTTAAAGCCCAAGGGGTGAGCTGGGCATAGCCCGGTGGTAGAGAGCTGGCCTAGCTGCGTAAGGACCTGAGTTCCACTCCTGACACACGACCACCAAAAAAGGCTCTAGGGAATATACAGGCTCTGAACTGGGACAGAGGTGATGATTTGGGAGCAGTGTAGGCCTGCTCTTCTGGGCGGCCATCCTGGGTTTATTTATAAGCATTCCACCCACACTGTCCATGGTGATCTGATCCACGCGCTCCCTCACAACCTCAGCACGTCTCCCTTTCCCCCGTCCAGAACCGACACCCACAACCAGAACAATTCCAAACGCTCACCGAGACACTAACTGCCAGGCTGGTGAGGCCAGGAGGCAGCCAGAGCCGGAGTCACCGTGGCCTGGTCGGCAGGGATGTTACTGAGGAGGCTTCCGAACAGCGAGCACAGCGCCTGGCAGAGCGCGCGAACCCGCCCGCGCCTGGGGACCCAAACACCCCAGCGGCCGCTTACACTCAGGCAGGAGCAGCCGGCCAGGGCTCTCGGAGACAGTGGGAATTGTGGCTCCCGAGCGCCCACGGGAGGCCGGAGCACGCAGCACCTCTCTTTTAGACCCTCCCACTCCCAGGTGACCGCTCCCGGCAGGGTCAGACTTTGAGAGCTCTGAGAGAGAAACTTACCTTCAACGCGGGAGGGAGCCTGCGGTCAAGAAGGTTGCCACCACGCGCACGCGCAGACCCAAGCGGGTGGCGCACGCGCAGACGCGCAAGTTCTGCAGGGGGCGTGGCTCCAGAGGATGGGCTGGCCGAGGGTCGACTTCCCTCTCTTCCAGTCTAGTCTTTGTTGTCAGCAAAGACGAGGTTTGGCTTGGCCAGGAGGGCGAACACCTGATTTTGGGGTCATTTGACACCCAGAGACCAGCGTGAACCTTTTGCTTGAGAACTGTCAAAAAATTAGCACCTACATAGCATGAAAACCCCTCTGTCTTGGTTTGAATCCTGACCCTGTCCTTATATACTAACCATAATGATTCTTGGTATGATCAAACTTCAGTCAGGCTCTTGAACCTTTCTGAAGTTCACCGGCACAACTCCTTGTGAAACCCGATTTTAGCAAGAAGGCTGTTAAGTCAGTTTATCCAGAACTCCTTCCTCCCAGTCCTCTATCTGATCATCGTTGATATTAAAGAAAAATCTGAAAATGAAGTTTATTTGAGAAAGAAAAAGGCTCTAAAACCCACAGGCGGTGTTCCAGATTGAAGATG